ATCACAAGACTTTCAAAAAATAAACCGGGAGTGATCTCCCCTTAACTTTCTCGAATATTTTTATATAACTTGGAATATAGACATGATTTTAAATTACATTAACTTTAAAAAATAGAATAGAATCTCATAGAAAAAAGAATTGCGCACCAAGCGAACGCCAAAACAAAATGTGCATAATAGTGCGCAATATTATTAGTACTTATATTATACTTGTATAAATTTACATGCGTTTTTTGAGAAATCGGAAATAGCGTAAATTAGTACTTCCTGTATACGGAAATTACTCAAAATTTGACAGAAGGTAGAGAATTAGATCTTTTACTTACATGTGAAATTTCATTCTATCTCAAATAGTACTCAAGTTATAGGCTTTTGAAAAATTCAAAGTAGAAAAAGTACCACTTCCGATTATCGGAAATCGCTCAAAAGTTGATCAGGATCCACGATTTTTATAAAATACTCATATATGAAATTTCATCAACCTAGCTGTAATGGTACTCAAGTTATCGTGTTTACACACGGACACACACACACACAGACAGACACACAGACATACGGACAAGATTGCAAAATTGTGTTTTTCCGTATCAGTGAGGTGTAAAACGTCGAGATCTGTGAAAAATCTCGATTTTTTTTTGCATGATTACAACACTTTCTTTATACTTCGTATATACGAGAAAGTAAAAAACAATGCCGTGTCAAGTATTATTAACGGAATCGAGAGTTTTAGCTTGCTATAATTAGTAGACATGCTCAGACTGTTTATACTTCTTCATAGTTGTTTTTTTTTTACTACTGACTGCGTATTATATAAATTATTTTTTATTCTATCGCTTTGTATTTTGTATTCTAAACATTTGTACTACCTAGAAAGGTAGTGTGCGTACAGTAACAACACAACACCCATGAACACATGTGACTTGGATTTGCTATATCTATCTACCCCCCCCCCCCCCCCCACAACAGGTTTTGCTGTAAACCCCACCCCCCCCCCCCCCCCCCCTAATACATACTGCCTATACCAAAATAATGAATAGAACAAATGCCCCTTAATCCCATGCCTAGGTTTCATGTAAACAGTCCATTCATTTCCGGGATTAAAATGGTGGGCTAGCTTCAATCTCAACCGACCCGCATGTCTGTATTGTGTAGTGTCGCGCAGTTGTTAGGCGAGATTTGGATTTTGGTTACTTCGGATTTAGCATTAGCTTAACTATCCAGTGCGTTGGATTCACCTATACAAAAGCTATATTTACCTTTGTGACCCAGCATAATCATTGCTTGTGTACTCTAATACATACTACTTATAATATATATATATATATATATATATATATATATATATATATATATATATATATATATACATATACCTATACCTACACCTACACCTACACCTACACCTACACGTACACCTACACCTACACCTACACCTACACCTACACCTACACCTCACCTACACCTACACCTACACATACACACACAAACATATATATATATATATATATATATATATATATATATATATATATATATATATATATATATATATATATATAGGACTACACGCTATGAGATTGAATGCAAGACGAGATGACCTAATGTTGTTACACATCCCCACAACCACTACGCCTCGCTGTTGACCGTTTAACTCAAGCCTATCCACGTCGCGCGCCATATTTACTCACCCCCCCCCCACCCCCCCCCCCCACCCCGCTCAACCCTCCCACTCCCAATCAAAACGCGCTCACGTGAAAATATTTAAATCAAAGCCGTCTGGTCAGTGCCTAGACAATCCATGGACGGAAGGATAAGAATCAGACGTGGATAAGAAACCGTCGTGGATAGTGGATAAGACTGACTGGTTTTCTTGTTACATCATCTATAGTGTTATCCATGGATTATCAACATATTTATATGTTTTGTTTTCCAGAAAGTTAATTCTTTAATAATTTTTTTTAATTTTGTTTGCATAAAACTGAAAATGTTTCTTTAAATTTAAATTGGATTGATGTTCGAAGTTTACATCAATCAAGTCAAATGTTGAAGAACTAGATCTAGATTCTAGTACATTTCACTTTTTCAATGTTGAGGACGCTGTGTTGTGCAGGTATGGAGCTTGGCACATATTTCAGATATAGACTACATTCGTAGCTCGTACATTTTTCTAAAGATACATTTTACACCTGAGATAATGAAAAAAACGTGGTCGGGGGTTGAATGGAGGGAAGTTTTGTAAACTTTGAAAAGCCACAATCTAGGTGCATTTTAGATAAACTATGCAAGAATTTTGGGGTTCGGGGTAAAATGCGAAACGTGAAATGGCGATGCGGTACAATGTCGAGAAAAAAATGCGAGATATCACCTTACTTGTGGCATTATGGATTTATAGCGAAACGCAATTTACGATATTTCTTTTGGTTATTAGATTTTTTGCTTGTTTTAATGCTTGTTTTAGGTTATTATTTGTGAGAAAATGATTGCCAAAAAAAAAAGTTGGCCTACATCGTAAATCAGTCAAAATTTCGCATACAACTTAATTCCCCCCCCCCTTCCCCCACCCACCCTGGAAGTAGGATAGAGACACCACAAACAAACATATTTGTATTATAAGTTTATTATTAGAGATTTACGTGTGTTAATAATTTATTTCTATATTTGATAAAAATACATATACATTCTACTTTCTATGCCCTATGAGCTTTTAGGCAGGGTTTCCTTGAAATATTTTTCCCCTAAAAAATGGCGAGGGGGGGGGGGGTCAAAGGGGAAGGAAACTGTAAGTATATATTTTCTATCCTAATCATTTATTTTGTCTAACCGCCGCCTCCACCTAAAAGATGCCTGAAAGAAACTCTGGTATTGTAATTGATTTTTTTTTTTACTTTAAAATTTTTTCGTTCACTTTAACGACGAAATAAACCTAACTGGCTTGCTTTTCCCCCAAGTTCATAAAGGTGAGCTAAGTTGTATATACAAAACACGTACACGACACTCTGTATATAAGTAGGCCCAGGGGAAAACCCATACGTTTTAGGATCGACTGATGGGAATACAAAGTTGGCTAGAAATAGTTCAAAGAAGTCTAGATATCCTTTATGAACATACCATTCGTGGATTTGCCATTTTATTGATAGAATATATATCATTTTTAGCTATAGATCTTTTTAAAGATTTTTTTAAAGACCAGCAGCTTGGCTGTTAAAAAAAATTAAATCAATGTTATAGATAACTTTTTGCAGACTTGAAGTCTTATGATCTAGTGATACGCTAACGTTTGGGTTCATGCATTAAAACTGCATGGGATACATCAGTGGCGTAGGCAGGGGGTTTAGGGGGGGGGGGTTATAACCCCCCCCCCTCCCCATAGACCCCTCGGTATATAGAAAAAGTATGAGAGGGGGGGTGCAAATCGGAAGTTTGAGGGGGGGGGGTGCAAATCAAAAGTTTGTCCCCGGGTAAAAATTGGAACCCCACCCCCCCCCCCCCCCCCATTGAGACGATCCTGGCTACGCCACTGGGATACATTATGTGTGTTTGTGATTGTCGTCACTTGCATGTAGGGGCGAACAGGAGTGGACAGGGGTGAGCAAAAAGTAAATTGTAAATTGTGTTGTTCCACAAGTCTGCTGAAGGTAATGAGGGCATGCTCGTTGACTAGTTGTTGGTAGTTAAGTTGTGTGTTGTTAGGTAGTTGGTAGTAGTGCTGTTGTTGGTTAGGTTGTTCGAGTAAAGTTGATAGTTGTTAGGTTGTTGGTACTTAGGTTTTGTGTAGTTTGCTTGTTGGTAGTTAGGTTGTGTGTAGGTAGGTCTTTGGTAGTTAGGTTGTGTGTAGGTAGGTTTTTGGTAGTTAGGTTGTGTGTAGTTAGGTTGTTGGTAGTTAGGCTGTGTGTAGTAGTGTTGTTGGTAGTTGGGTTGTTGGTAGTTGGGTTTTTGGTAGTTAGGTTGTTGGTAGTTTGGTTGTTGTTAGTTATGTTTTTGGCTGTTTGGTTGTTGGTAGTTTGGTTGTTGGTAGTTTGGTTGTTGTTAGTTATGTTGTTGGTAGTTTGGTTGTTGGTAGTTTGGTTGTTGGTAGATAGATTGTTGGTAGATAGGTTGTTGGTAGTTAAGTTCCTGATTCTGTTATAAAATCGAGTTCCTCGTTTAACTTCTACGTGTACTGGCATCGCTTCTTTACAAACATAAAAAAAAACGTTTGATCAACAGTTGGCATTTTCTTAAACAAATAAAAAAAAAACTTCAAAAATTTAAGCAAGTGATAAAACATGCGGATTGATATTTGACCGTACTTCTTAGCAGTTTGAAATAAAGGCGTTAACATACGCGAATTTAACAGTTTGAAATAAAAGCGTTAACATAAGTGTTTCGACATTTGGTGCCGTAGAATGATTTTAATCTCTCGCTTATGATGGCTGGCATGCCTCGCCTTATGCATTGGGTATTTGTTTTCTTCCAGAACCTTCTGTCTTGAAAACAGGCACGATTACATCAATTAAAACGGCGCGAGTTTAGAGGAGTGTTGTGCTTAGTTGAACAGAATTGTAATGATGTTCTTTAATCTATCTCCGGTACAAAGATGTATAAAAACAGCTTTATATACAACACGTTTATGAGTAAAGCTCTTAAAAAGATTTGTTACTGTAAAAGTAGTGTCTTGTTTTTTGTTTAGCTAAACTGACTTTTTTAATTTTAATATACTATTTTGTATCTAATATACTTTTGCCTTAGGTATTCGTTAAACCAATTGAATAAAAAATAAAAATGGGATTACCACATATTCATTTTTTATGGAACTGTTAATCATCCATTCCAGATAATAAAATTTATAAGGGTTAGTCACTAGTAAAGTAAATATAAAATGAACGATTCTTTGTGAATAGAATTTAAATAACAATTTCTCTATGTAAACAAAGTGAAATATTTAGTGAAGTAAATATAAAAATATAAAATGAACTTTTCATTGCGAATATAATTTAAACAACGATTTCACTAATGTGATCAAAACGACTTAGTAAAGTAAATAAAAAATGAACTTTTCTTTGCTAATAGAATTTAAACAATTTCTAATGTACCCAAAGTAACAGTGTGGATATGTTTACTGTAATGAAAACGTGTATTTGTAAATATTTTACTTGATAAACAGACCAAAAAAAATGATTGTGTTCGTTCAATGGATTTATCTTCATCTGAAAGTCAAAGACTTAACTCTTTACACTCTTACGTGCGCGACACGTTAAACTAAAACCCAACACCCCGTCTGTGATGGAGGACTCACCCACGTCAACAATGGACACGCCCACAACCATGGACCTCCTGGACGTCAACATCAGCTCCCAAGACAACGCCAGCAACGTGACCTTGTACCCGTTGTTCAAACAGGATCTTCCCATGATCCTTATCCAGGTCACGATGAACGGCGTGGTGGTCATTCTCTCCGTGCTGGGCAACCTCTCGGTGCTGTGTGTCGTCATCAAGGACAGCCGCTTCCATTCGGCGACCTACTTTTTCATCGCCAACCTGGCCGTGGCTGACCTACTTATGGCGGTCGTCTGCCAGCCCATTACGGTGGTTTCCAACATCGTCAACGGTAAGATAGTCATTGGGGTTCGTTTTCATCGTCTAAATCAGGGGTCTCCAAACTTTTCAGTCCAAGGGCCGCATTAACTATCAAATTTCAGTTCAGGGGCCAGTTTCTTCCAGGCATGTCTTTGATTTTTCTGGACAAAGTTCCTCAGCCATCACTAACAAACGTTGTTTCCATGGAACAAAAAGATCTCCGCGGGCCGGATGAGAGGACGTCGCGTGCCGCATCAGGCCCGCGGGCCGTAGTTTGGAGACCCCTGGTCTAAATCAACGGTAAGATAGTCATTGCGGGTTCTATTTCATCGTCTAAATCAACGGTTATATAGTCATTGGGGTTCATTTTCATCGTTTAAATCAACGGTAAGAAAGTCATTGGGGATTCTATATTAATAGTAGTGTATAATTTATTTTCTACTTTTTAGTGCATTAGTACATAAAAGCTTGTTATTAAAACGTTTTTTATGAAATTTTTTATAATATAAATCAACGGTAAGATAGTCATTGGGGGTTCTTTTTTATTGTCTAAATCAGGGGTCTCCAAACTTTTCAGTCCGAGGGCCGCATTAACTATTAAAGTTCAGTTCGGGGGCCAGTTTCTTCCGGGCATGTCTTTGATTTTTCTGGGCAAAGTTCCTCAGCCATCACCAACAAACGTTTTTACCGTGGACAAAAAGATCTCCGCGGGCCGGATTAGAGGACCTCGCGGGTCGCATCCGGCCCGCGGGCCGTAGTTTGGAGACCCCTGCTCTAAGCTAACTACTCAAACTACCTTCACGATTAGCTGTCAAATCCAGACTTTGGGCACACGTAACTGTCTAATCTAGACTTTGTGCACATGTAACTGTCTAATCTAGACTTTGTGCACATGTAACTGTAAGTGTTAGTCCCGAGAGTGCACCAAGGTGTAACACAGTTAACAGCGGTTTGCTCTCGTCTTTTGTTTGTTGGAAAATATCTCGCGCGTGGGACTTTTTTGTCAGGGGAAAAAACAAACAATGTTTTTTTCCAAGGGAGGTAATTATAAAATTAAAAGAGAAAAGAGAAAAAAAAAAGTAGTAATAATTTTTGAAACAAAAGCAAGTAAACAGACATTAGTATTAATTATAGAAAAATAAATTTTAAAAACGTCTTTAAAACATTTGGTGACTTATCACACAATATTAATTACAACTCCCAATAATTTGTTTTGCTAATCCAACAATCAAATGCAACTTATTTGCATTCAGCTGTAATATTTATACCAAGAAGATTAAATTAATGTGCTCACACACTATCGTTACCTCAGTGATCTTATGTAGGCGTATTTTTTTCAGGGATCATTTCTATAGTTGTTCTTGCCGGGTTGAGCAAAACCTAAATGCATAGAGTCCTCATTTCCATGCACTAGAAATGGACTATTCAAGCATCACGAAAGTCAACAATGGGGTTGCGCTCATTTTCGTTCCCTCTAGGTCAGAGGTCTCCAAACTTTTCAGTCCGAGGGCCACATTAACTATCAAATTTCAGTTCGGGGGCCAGTTTCTTCCAGAAATGTCTTTGAATTCTCTGGGCAAAGTTCCTCCGCCATCACCAACAAACATTTTTTTCCGTGGACAAAATGATCTCCGCGGGCCGGATGAGAGGACATCGCGGGCCGCATTCGGCCCGCGGGCCGTAGTTTGGAGACCCCTGGTCTAAATTAACGGTAAGATAGTCTTTGAGGTGTCTTTTTCATCGTCTAACTAAATCAACGGTATGATACTAGATAGTCATTGGGGATTCTATTTCATCGTCGTCTTAATCCATGGTAATCTTAGTTTCTCTCTCCACACCTTCTACATCAATAGTAGGTTTAAATTAGGATCGTCTGCTTCAATAAAGCAGGTTTTCCTAAGCTAAACTTGGCCGCAACCTCAAGTTTGATAAACAGTGTACCCATTCATACATCATGAGATGTAGCGCTATGATCCGCTCTACAGCAGGCTAAGAATATATTTGCCATGCTTATGATGGCATAAAGGAGACCGACGAACGCTATTTCTTTTCATTCACGGTCCGTCAGATTTAATTAAAAATGTAATTAATTTTAATCTAGATCGACTTATATAACAGAAAAAAAAAATGTCCCAAATATTAAGCTTAATACACGGTATACAAGCAATCCAATTACAACGTGTATCTCAATTTCACGCAGGCAGTTTCAGCATTTGATAAACACACGAAACACGACCAATGATGTTATTTTAAAATTAAAATAGAGTAAACAAATTTTGAATAAGGGAAATAAATTACGGGAGCGAAGACCGTTGATCCATTTCATATCCATGTTCCACTTCGTATCCATGATCCACTACTTTAAAATGATCCACTTCGTTGCAATGATCCACATCGTTACAATGATCCACTTCGTTGCAATGATCCACATGATCCACATCGTTACAAGGATCCACTTCGTTGCAATGATCCACATGATCCACATCGTTGCAATGATCCACATCGTTACAATGATCCACATGATCCACATCGTTACAATGATCCACATCGTTACAATGATCCACATGATCCACATCGTTACAATGATCCACATCGTTACAATGATCCACTTCGTTACAATGATCCACATGATCCACATCGTTACAATGATCCACATCGTTACAATGATCCACATGATCCACATCGTTACAATGATCCACTTCGTTGCAATGATCCACATGATCCACATCGTTACTATGATCCACTTCGTTACAATGATCCACTTCGTTACAATGATCCACATCGTTACAATGATCCACTTCGTTGCAATGATCCACATCGTTACAATGATCCACATCGTTACAATGATCCACATCGTTACAATGATCCACATGATCCACATCGTTACAATGATCCACATCGTTACAATGATCCACTTCGTTGCAATGATCCACATGATCCACATCGTTGCAATGATCCACATCGTTACAATGATCCACTTCGTTACAATGATCCACTTCGTTGCAATGATCCACATCGTTACAATGATCCACATCGTTACAATGATCCACTTCGTTACAATGATCCACATCGTTACAATGATCCACTTCGTTGCAATGATCCACATGATCCACATCGTTGCAATGATCCACATCGTTACAATGATCCACATCGTTACAATGATCCACTTCGTTGCAATGATCCACATGATCCACATCGTTGCAATGATCCACATCGTTACAATGATCCACATCGTTACAATGATCCACATGATCCACATCGTTACAATGATCCACATCGTTACAATGATCCACATCGTTACAATGATCCACATCGTTACAATGATCTACATCGTTACAATGATCTACTTGATGAACAGAAAAACTCTACTACATCTGTTCTGTTAACTGTAAAGACTGAAACAGTGACTTGATTTGAAATAGTTAGTCCAGGCATTGTTGTGTCATACCAAATTTTTTACCATCTTTGGAATTTGGAAACAATCAAATCTGTTGTTTTTTTTTTAATCGTAATTAAAACTGTTATCTTTTCTTTAATTTTATTTTAATGTTTTTTCATCAACATTTAAATCTAAGACTTCAGGGTCTTTGCGACCCATGGGTTAAGAAATAATTGCTATTAGTCGTGTTGTTTTGTTGACCTTAAATTAAAACTATCGCGACGTAGGTAGAAAACACAAAGTTTTATCTTTTACAGAACGAACACGGATAGCTTCCCTTGTGTAACTTGAATGTAACTGCTCTCCCCTAGATTGTAATAACAGTCTGCAATTAATTTACTACTCTAGATAAACTTTGTGGTAAAATTGCCATGAATAAACCTAATCTTAACATAACATTCAATGGCTGTAAAGAAATAAATAAAACATAACATTCTCGGACCCTACAAGATAAACATATTTTTAAGACCGTATTGAATAAACAAATCTTAACATACCATTCTATGTCTGAAAATGATTAAACAAAATCTTAACATATCATTAAAGGAACATAACTGAATAAACAAATCTTAACATAACAATCTATGACCATTTTGAACAAACAAATCTTAACAAAACATTAACTGAACGTATATTAATAAACAAAATCTTACCATTCTATGAATCATATTTAATAAACAAATCTTAATATACCAATCTATGACAATTTCGAACAAACAAATCTTAACATAACATTCTATGTCTGAAAATGATTAAACAAAATCTTAACATATCATTAAAGGAACATAACTGAATAAACAAATCTTAACATAACAATCTATGACCATTTTGAACAAACAAATCTTAACATAACATTAACTGAACGTAAATAAATAAACACAATCTTAACATTTTATGAATCATATTTAATAAACAAATCTTAACATAACATTCTAAGACCATTTCGAACAAACAAATCTTAACATAACATTTTTTGTCAGTAGATGAATAAATAAAAAAAAACCTTAACATACCATTAAATGAACGTATATGAATAAACAAAATCTTAACACTTTATGAATCATATTGAATAAACAAATTTTAACATACCAATCTCTGATCTAACTAAATAAACGATCCTCAACATATTCAATGTATTTACCTAATTACACAAAGCTCAACCTAACATTTAATTACATTGTTAATTGCATCCGTTTTTCTATGGTTCATCTAGGTGTAGATGTATGAACTAATGAGCTGACCAGACAAGTGACACTCCCACTACGTACCCCCCCCCCCCCCCTCCCCGGGACGTATGATAACGCTTAGCTTTTATCCAACTGTCAGTTTAAAATAAAACACTTAGGATGAATGTGATCACGTCAAATGGTTTTGATAAGTTATAAGCATAATAATAAAAACAAAGCTTTATTAAAACAGTGTCATACCGTACTTTGACTAAGTTACGAAGTTAAACGCGATTACGAAACTTGATTGAATGTTTTATAAAATAAACATTCTTGATCATAGCGTCCAATGAGAAAGGAGGGGATCGGAACAATATTTGTTTATTTAACTGAATATTTTTCCTCTCTATAAAAACAGTTTACAAA